ACGCACCCAGCTTCAGCCTGGCCCCGGGTGCTCCAAGGAGGTGCCAGGACACAGCCCTTCACGCTCTCCCCTGCCCTGTGGCCTTCGCCAACCGCGGTTATCCCCAACCTCCTCCTGCTTTTCCTCACGCACCTGGGGTGCTGCGGAGCAGAGAGCCGCCCCCAGCTGTGCTGCGGAGCCCCAGGTTGATCTGGGTCTCTCGGCCTCCTCCTCAGGCACGAGAGGCTGCAGCACTGGCAGAGGCAAGCCACGCGCCATCTCCCCAGCAAGCATACCTGCAGCTCAGGAGACTTCTGGCTGAGGTCCGCAAAGGCATCCCCCAGGGCGTGCTGTGTCTGCACCAGGCTGTAGAAGTGGTTGGTGAAAGCCCGCGCGAGCTGCAGCACACACTCGTACTTGCGCTTTGTCTCCCGGAGCAGCTCAATCTGCGTCTCCAGCTCCAGGTCCACGGTGCGGGAGCCCCGGCCAAACCGCTCCGAGATCAGCTGCTTGGTACACTGCAGGGCGAGGGAGGAAGGCATCAGGAGGCCTCGGGTCCCTGGCCGACGGGGAGAAAGCGTTCCTCGCTGCTGCGGGCAGTGGGGAGCTGCAGAGCTGTCCCCACGAATTCTGCAAGGAGATCCCTGAACGCCTCCTCCACCTCCCGCCGCTCCTCGGGGTCTGTCAACCCCTCGCCCTGCCGCGCGGCCCCGGCAGCGAGCCAGGCCATCCCGAGGGTCCCGGGAAGCAGCTCACCTTGTACGTGTTGATACCCCATTTCTTGACAATGTCAAACTTCTCCACGGCGATGCCACGGACAACTTCCTCTCCTCCGATGGCTGGGCTGGGGTGGGGCTGGTGCAGCCCAGAGCCTGTAACAGAAACAGCCCCGCACGGCACCAGCTCAGCAGGGCAGCAGCACCAGCTCAGCAGGGCTCGCAAGGGGACAGGCCAGGCTGCTCACCCAAAAGCAACGGTGCCTTCACAGCGGGGTACCACGGCTGCGCCTGGAGGGCTCAGGGCACTGCGAGGAGTGCAGGACTCCCACAGGGCT